CGACAAAAAAAAAAAAGGCACCAAAACAGTTACAGCTTGCCTATGTCCTACACCAATTCAAAAATTGAAATCGCCATATCCGCGCGCGACAGTCGACGAGGGAAAAGAAAGTCCTATGCCTATCCGTATTCTCCCAAAATTCCTAGAGTTTTGTCCGATGTGACCGAGAACATTCATGCAAAGAAAAAGACACGTCGAGTTCCGCTTATTTCGGAATTCCTAACTGTCGAGCCTGATTCCCAGTGCGCTCACTAAGGCGCGCGTAATTTCCCATGCATTTCTCGAATTACAAAAAGCAGAATTCCAAGAATCAATAGAACCTCTGAAAAATGGGGGCCTAAACAAGGCATTTGAAATCAAGAAAATCGACGGGGGCTTTGTTGGGTCGGCATGACACAAAAGGGGGAATCGAGTCGAGGGGTACGAAAGATAGCACGGGGTCGGGAAGTGGTTCGTCATATATGTGACGCGCAGGGGGTTCCACAACTATGTGATCTCCTGATTGCATGAAAGACCTTGATCAAAGGAAGTGGGAGGAGACGAAGAAGCAAGAAGAAGTAGGAGGCTTAGATCAGCACAATTTATGTCAGCAGAGAAAACTAAGTCGGGGTATGAGTTGACGACAACATCCGTGGCAAGATCTTCGTGATGCATGCTGGCTCATGCTGTCTTGGATACCCCATTCTCTGCGGTCCTGTCATATGCAACCCCCTGCCCTTCAAACTTCGGAGATCGTCCAGGTGGCACCATCATGGTCCATCAGGTCTCCGTGTGCTCTGCACTCCAGTTCAGCGCAATCCGTCGAATCAGAGCATGTGTTGACGTCATCGTCAATGGTGTGATCTTCGCGAAACTGTTGATTTGAGTTGGTCGGGGGACACGTGTCGATGGTCATTGACAAGAAGAGGGTGGGATGCGCCGCCATCGGGACACATGGCAGGTATCAGTGCCGCGTGGGAATGGGAAAGTAGACATTGTACATGGAGGGGTGTCGACGGGTCGGACGGGGAGGGTTTGGGGGGAAGTGGACGTAAGTAGCGATCTATCCCTTCCACTGTCACTGGAAGTTCCTCGTAGCGGATGATCCGGTGAAAGAGGGGAAATCGATCGCCGTTGTGAGGGAGGGAGGCGAGGTAATCAGGGTAGAGGGTGGAGAAAGTGCGGAAGAGCGCCGTGCGAATTAGCTCGTGATGGCGGCATGCGGGGATGGTTCCTGTGATTACGCAGTAGACTTCTACTGCGTTGCTCTGCTCCCACGCCGCACTAAACAAAAGGACATGCAGACAGAACGCGGGGGTTGCACATTGAAGGGAAGGATGGGGATGACGGTGACGGCGAGGCGGGTGAAGTAGAAGTGGTGGGAGGTATTGGGGGGGAAGGGGTTGCGAGTGAAGGTGACGGGGGTAGAGATATGACAGAGGGTGAGGTAATCAAGGGGACGACGAGATAATGACCGGGGACGAAGACCGATCCCCCGCATCGGTACGTGGACGAACTGGGGGACGGGATGAGGTGGAGGGGGAGGGGGATCGGCTCCGTCTCCGTCGCGATGCGCTTGGAGCAGCGGTTGCTGGGTTGCCATCTTCGGGCTTGGGGGGCTCTGGATCCCGGGTCGGGTCGTCGTTGGCGCGCAAGTTCGTTTCGCTGGCGAATTCCAGCTGGTTTTTCCCGGCGGCGATCTCTTCCCTCTTACGTGGCGCCTCGGGATCTTCCGCCTCCGTGCCTGTGCGCGCCACTTCTTTCGGCAAGGCCTCCCACTCCGATCCGGCCTCCTCCTCTTCGTCTTCTTCTCCTTCTTCTTCTTCTTCTTCTTCTTCCTCTTCACTCTGCTCTCCTTTGCTGTGCTCATTATAACTCCCTTCCTCCGACGTTTCTTCTTCAACGTCGCCCTCTTCTTCGGTTGCTTCCTCCTCTTCCTCTTCTACCGCCTCCTCGAACGTATCTTGCTTCGGATAGAAGGCAAGATTGATGATTCCG